ACCTCGAAGGATAATGTATAAGGGAGTTTTTCCATTTAAAGTGACATTATTCGAAATGGGATTATTTATTTGATTTTTAGAGTCGCCACTTGGGATAGGATTGGCTTTTGGTGTCCCAAGCCACCGATTTAATTTAAATCCCAAATCGAGGAAAATTTCGACTTCCCAATTGGAGTCTGCGAACCAGAAATTCTGAATAAGGAATTCTGTTGACCCGAGGGAAGGTGTTAGGCACCCCCGGATCCCGTGGTTCTAGCACGGTCGCTTAAATTATTATAAATGGCTAAAAATCTGGTTTTATGCATGTTCAAACCTATAGTGCAATTTTATAAATTTGTTTAACCGCTTTTAATTGGTTTTTATGAAAGTGAACGCCGTTTAAGAGCGTGTTTTCGGATCACGTCACATGAAATGCACCCGGATCCGCGACACCTCTTATTCAACGTTTTGGGATTTGGATTTGGGTTGCATGAAATGCACACCCGAGTTTAGGAAAGTAATATTATTAAAATTCGCGCCTAAAGTGACTAGCGTATTATTATCTTTGCGGGAAGCCATGAAAATTCGCTAAATGGCATGTCCCGATTTCTAAGTATTTCAATAGAAGTAATTGAAGATGGCCACGCAATTTATGCATTTTATTTGGCGCGGCGCACCTCGTTTTTATTTTAAAGGCCAGCCTAAAAGAACTACGATTTTCTATCAAGTATTGTCTCTAAAGGGACCCTAATTAGCATTATGAATTATTATTAAAAAAAAAAACATCAAGGGATTCGGGCCTCAGACTCAAGTCCACATTTGAACAAGAGGATAACCTCCTAGTTCAAACGTGCTACTTAGCTTGGAAGGCCCAAATTATAATTTAAACTCAACAACCTTTAAATCTAATGGCTCAAATTTTCAACGTGTTGGGCCTCAAGAGCCAGCCCTTGGGAATAAGCCTGTCCTATTTATTTGTAAAGCCACCTACAAGGCTATCCAGCATCCAGGCCATAGCACAGGCCCAGATAGAAAATAAGTTGCAAGTTGGGACTCAGGATTTAAATCACTTGGGCTTCTGATTATACATTAGGCCCAGATCCCATTTTTAACAAAAGTACAGCCTTGGGGATTCTTGGGTTTGTTAATAATTTTGTAGACAAATGCATAATTTGCTCAAGTCACAGACGTGCTAGCTTTGAAATGCAAAGTCTCCTGTAGTTTCAAACTTGTCTAATAATGGATAACCAATACACTCGATCTAAAATTTTTAACAACCTTTAGCTTCAATTAATACACCTCAAAACAGCTCAATCGCAAACTGAATATGAAAGGGACTACCGGAGCTTCCATTTCGTTTCTGAATCATTTTTGAACAAACAGATGATATGACTATTATCTTTAACACATGTCTAATAATCGACCACAAATGTTTGATGAAGAAACTAAGACTAATATTATGTTCAAGCTACAGGGCCAGCTTCATTGCAAGCATGCTCATACGTTACTTTAGATTCTGCTTTCAAATGGCATCTTAATATAACCTTAAATCTCAAATTAATCTAATAACCTAAACTGAGATTATCGACAACTAGTATTCTACTCATAATACTCACATAAGTCTGAAAAATAACAGTTCATACAGTCCGATTAACATGAATAATATAATGTTATAACATGTGTTTAAACCAAGTAAACTACTAAGGAATTCGTAAGACAAGCAGATTGTATTTCATGATCTCTTCCAATATTGATTCAAGTTTCACATGTCATTCGAGGCTGAAAAAAGTACCTGGAAATTAGAGAAAAGTAAGAAGAAGGTAGAGTCAGCAGCAGTACACAGCAGTATAGTAACAGGAATCAACAGCTTGAGATTTATTGTAAACCCAGAAGCAATATTGAACAGCCCAGGACAAATTTCAACCAGTAAACCACTCGTAACAACTTGAATAAACCCAAACAAACTCGAAATCACCCCAGGACAACCTCTAAACTTCAGCAATCAGGCATATATCCCTATCTAAACTAGAACTTTGAACTAACAACTGAAATTTAAAATTAATCTAAGGGGAATTTCAATGGAACAGTACTTTTTGAGTTTTTGTGTTTTCTGTTATATTTTTTTTTGGTTTTTTTTTTTTTGCAGAATTTAAGATCTTAAGAGGAGGATTGTGGAAAAATTATAAGCTGGAAGTTTTTTTTGGGAATTTTTCAGAGGTCTCCAAAACTTTTTAAACAAGGCAATGTGTGTGCCTTTTATAGGCAAAAATGTAAAGCTTTCTTCAGATTTTATTTTTCTCTTTAGTCCCTCTCCTTTTAAACTTTCAGTCCCTAATTTTTAAGACTTATTACCCAAGTAACAACACCTATTTTATTGAAAACTATACTAAAGTCTATTCTAGAAAGTCCTACACCCATTACAATCCCTATTCTATCCTTACCCCTTTTCAAAAATTACCAAATCTGCTGAAAGTACCCTTTTCTATACCTGAACTACCCTCAAAACTCTCTTGGAATTACTGACCAACCCAAACCCCTTTACTTTAGTTAGTACTGACTATAGTTAACCTTATTTAATCTAAATCAGCTATAACCAATCAATTAACCCTAACTACTGAATTAAACTAAAATTTAATCAAACCAGTGATTTAATCAAACCAAACAGTATCTGAACAGGGTTGAAACAACAATTAACTAAGATTAAAATGAAGCAAAATCGAATTGCAAAGAATTATCGAGACAGGCTAACACACGTTCAAGAATCGAACTATTGAATTAAAGGCTAAAATCATGCGTTGACAGTCAAATATATACACTAATTATTAAAATTGCTAGAACACATACTGAATCAAAAAAAAGATAAGCAAAACATAAAACAAAAGAAACAAGAATAAAATCAGAATTAAAAGAAGGGAAAACAGAATACCTAATAGAATTAGGAACTCGGTTAGGCACTGTTGCTTGAATCCTCCAGGATTCTTGACACGTAACATCCCTAATCGTGTGTTTTCACAAGAACCCACATGATTAGGGAAATTACGGTCAAAAATCCCTAAATTTTTGAGCTAGGGTTCTGCCGGTTTTAAGATTTGAAATTCGAGGAGTTATGGCAAGATTCGAAAGGTTTTGGTCAGGGATTAATGATGGGGAGGTCATGGAGACTGTGGGGTGTAAATTTGGGCCGGTTTGGACAAGGTTGTGTTTTGGCCGGAAATTTTGATCTAATATTCGAGGCATATGGCTATGATTCGAGGGAAGTGGTTTTGGGGGTTGGAAAGAGGAGGAAGAGAGGAGTAAGGGGTGTATTTTTTGGGTGGTTTGGAGCTTCGCCGCCGGCGGCGGACGGTGGCAAAGGGGTGGAGATACAGTGGGGTACGGTGGGGCTACGGTGTGGCGATTTCCGGTGAGATGTGAGAGTGGGGGTGCGGGGGAGATGAACGAGGGGGTAGGGGGTGTGTTTCGGACATATATATATTAAGTAAAACCAGCTTTAGGACCGTTCGATCAAGGAACCTCGACGGTCCTGATTGAACGAGTCCAAACGACGTCGTTTCACGTGGGCTGGGGGATTGGACCAGGTAAGGTTGGACGGGTCTGGGACGGATCAGGCCTATTTTATTTGGGCTCAGCCATTTGGGCCCAATTTCTGGCAGCCCCTTTTGCATTTCTTTTGTATTTCATTTTGTATTTTTGTATTTTGTATTTATTCATTTTTCCTTAATTTTAAAAATGCTAAAACAAGACAAAGACCCAATTAAACTATTTAAACTTCCTAAAATTACTTAAAACTCTATTTAGAAATAAAACGCAACAAATAACAATTAAGAGTGCAACAAGACTTATTATTATATTTTTTCTTTATTCTAAATCTAATTAATACCTAATTAATACTAACAATTGTGAAATTAAAATCCTTAAATGTATGTGCATATTTTCTGTATTTTTTATGAAAAATGCAACCAATTAACACAAAAACTCAAACAAAAATTCACAAAAAAAATTGTAAAATAATAAAGAAATCAATTATTTGAAACTTTCGGAATTAATTTGCTTGGGGCAAAAATCACGTGCTCACAAGGTTAGTTTAAAGTCCTAATATTAGAAAGATATTTTATATTCTTTTCAATGTAATCTGTTTTAAACCATAAAAACTCAACCAACATTTGGTTATATTAAATTCCAAAAATTAATTATTTCTTTAACCATTTTATTAGAGTGTAAAATTTTGAATTTTAATATATAAGAGTAACTACAAAATTGATAAGAAGAAGACAACAAAAAATAGAAACCTTGAGTCACAATGTCAGCATTTATATACGTTTGGAAAACTTTAATAGGAAACTTTAATTAGAGTGTGATAATAATCCTAAATATTAGTATATCTTACCTAGTTTAATAAGGAAAGATTTAGTAACAAAATATTTAATTGATTTTAAAGTTTTAGATATTAGAAAAATAATATAAATTACAATTATGTCCAATGTGAAATACAATTTTAAGGGGTAAAAAAGGCGAGCGACATTTCGCTAAGGCCTTCGTGTTTCTAATATAGTATAGATAGATATAGATATAGATAACTACCGAAGAACAATAATCTCAATTTAGTGGGCGTTGGACGAATTGTAAAATTCCAAAATAGGGGGAAAAAATTTCAAGTCAAAATGGTATTTGAAATTTAGAGTTGTGTTTGGATATGAATATAATTTTGGGTTGTTTTTTAAGTTTTGTGAGTGATTTGAGTGAAAATTTTGAAAAACAACTTTTTGGAGTTTTTTAAATTTTCAAAATATATCTTAAAGTGAAAATTAAAAATTTTATGAACAAACGCTGATTTAAAAATAAAAAAAAAAGTGAATTTTTTTTGAAAAAATTTCTTATTTTCAAACTTCAACTAATAAGTTCAATATTTCAATTGAAAATGAAATTGCATTGCAGATGCAATACTGGTGGTTTCTGTATCACCTTCTTTTAATAAATAACTTTAACTGCTTTTTAACTTTCCCTTTCAATATTCCGCTGTATTTCACAGAAAGCGCGTTTTCTTATGACTTTCCTGTGGGTCCCCCATCTCTTCTCTTTTCCCTTTCCTTCACATTTCTTCTTCAAGCATCCCACTTTCTCCCACAAATTGAAAATTTTCCAAAAATATTTCATGTACTACTGATCATTTCCCATTAGTAAATTTGGAAAACCCAATAGCAGAAGCATTTACACTTTTATACATGGCTGAAAATGGCGAAGAAAAACTCATAGCTGTTGCTCGTCATATTGCTAAAACTCTTGGTCATACTGATACTATGACTGATGATATTCTACAAATTTTCTCTAGTTTCGATAATCGTCTCCGCGAAAAGCTCACTGATGATCAGCCCACTAGCTGTGCTTCACTTGAACGAACTCTTAAATCCCTTCACCGTCAGATCTCTCGTTACGTCTCCATCGAACATCCCATATGGTCCGATTCAGCTGATTCTGCCACTTTCCTTGATTCCATTGACGAATTAATAGCCACAATTCGTGAGTGGAACCCTATGGCTACTGACAAATCCGTTTCTGCTTCTCTTGATAAAGCTGAGGATTTACTCCAACAAGCTATGTTCCGTTTGGAGGATGAGTTCAAAACCCTCATGCAACGCGCTGCTGAGTCCTTGGATCTCACGCGCTACCAGAACGGCGAACCGGCAGCGAATCTTAACTACTCCTCTGATTCCGAAGAAGCTGAAGATGACAGTGAGATTCCTGTAGCACATCCGGTTACAGATTACGACATCCTTATTGACGCTTTACCGGCGGGAACCGTCAGCGATCTTCACGAGATCGCAAGAAGGATGGTGGCCGCCGGATACGGGAAGGAGTGTTCGCACGCGTACAGCGCGTGTAGGAGAGAGTTTCTGGAGGAGAGTCTGAGTAGACTGGGCTTGCAGAAGCTGAGTATTGATGAAGTGCAGAAAATGCAGTGGACTGAGCTGGAAGACGAGATTGAGAAATGGGTCAAAGCGGTCAACGTTGCACTCCGGATTCTGTTCCCGAGTGAACGCCGTCTATGCGATCGCGTCTTTTTCGGATTCAACTCTGTTTCTGATCTGTCATTCATGGAAGTTTCTAGAGGTTCTACGATTCAGCTTCTCAACTTTGCTGATGCTGTTGCCATCTCAAGTCGGGCACCGGAGAGACTTTTCAAGGTGTTGGATGTTTATGAGGCGCTTAGGGATTTGATGCCTGAATTTGAATTGTTGTTTATGGATCAATACTGTGTATTATTGAGGAATGAAGCTTTGACTATATGGAGAAGATTAGGTGAGGCTATTAGAGGGATTTTTATGGAGTTGGAGAATTTGATTCGCCGAGATCCTGCCAAAACGCCTGTTCCAGGAGGCGGACTCCACCCGATTACTCGATACGTGATGAATTATCTCCGTGCAGCTTGTCGATCCCGGATTTCTCTTGAACAGGTTTTTGAGGAATCTGCTAGTGCTGTTGATTATAGAGGAGAAGTGGATGATAGAGCACTTTCATCGTCTCCCTTGGCTGTTCAAATGGCATGGACAATGGAGTTACTCGAGAGTAATCTGGAAGCAAAATCCAAGATTTACAAGGACTCTGCTTTAATGGCTGTTTTTATGATGAATAATGAAAGATACATTGTTCAGAAGGTTAAAGATAGTGAGTTGGGATTACTTCTAGGTGATGATTGGATACGGAAGCACGCATCCAAAGTTAAGCAGTATCATGTCAATTATCAACGAAGTTCATGGAGTAAGGTTTTGGGAGCTCTGAAGATTGATAATAATGCTATGTCGCCTACTGGAGCATCAAGGTCTTTGAAAGAAAAGCTTAAGTTATTCAATTCCTACTTTGAGGAGATATGTAAAACACAATCCACTTGGATAATCTTTGATGAGCAACTGAAGGAGGATTTGAGGAATTCCGTAGCTGGGATTTTGTCTCCAGCATACCGCAACTTTGTTGGAAGGTTGCAGAGTAGTCACGATGCTGGGAGGCACGCGGAGAGGCATATCATGTTTAGTGTGGAGGATGTTGAAGCTCGAATTACTGAGTTGTTTCAGGGGAACAATGGATCAGGTGGTGGCAGGAAGTGAGTACAAAGTCTGTAAGCAAGTGATTGCATCTCTTGTACCATACATGTATGCTAGTTTAGCTTTTAGAAGTTTTGTTGTATGTTCATGTAATCCTGGTCAATTATGGCCTTTGTCATGGCTCTGAATCGTGCCTTCTAATACTTGTATGCATTAATGGAAACCATATGAAAGCTACTGGAATGCAGTACCATTATCTTAGGCTTGATTAATTAGTTGCTTGTGTTGGAAGAGCTTTGTGCCATATGGCTAGTTAATACTTTCAGAAATGAATATAACTTTTAGCGTTCATCTCTATTGCAATCTTTAATCGGAACTAAACCTTCTCTGACGAGAAGACAATATCTTATCAGACAAGAAACAAACCTTTGTCGAAGCTAATCATTTTCCTTAAACATGCACTTTAAATGACTTCATTCATATTGAAGTTTAATAGGATATCCCGGTAGCCAATTTCAGCACTAGGTCATACTTGGATACATATTTGTAACTTTGCAGTTCCAGAATACTTGGAAGGAACTTGACGTTTGTATAAGTCAATTAATGGGTTTTGTTGTGTGATAGTTTGTGACGCAGTAGTTTCTTCATTGCCATATTGGAAAGATACCGGTAGGCTGATTCACCAGGATGTATACTGTCCCAGAACAAGTATTTAGAAGCATTTTTGCAGACAGGACGTTGTTTATTACAGAATGGACCTGCTTCATATGTACCACTGCCACAGCACCCTCGTCTAGTTTTCACAAATCCTGTCAAATCGATCTTTTACATCAGAAAAGGTGATGCTGTCTGTTCATAAATATAATATAATAAAAAGGTGATGCTTAAGGGAACTTGGAGGAGAGTGGAAGCCTACCATATTTTTTTGGATGCTTGATCATCTGCATGAAAGGATGATATGTATCTGAATACAATACTTTGCTTCCTGAAAGTGCTGCTTGTACTTGTTTTAGCAACCTTGTGAGTTTTGCATTATAAGTTTGAGCATCAAAATTCTCCTCTTCAATGCACTTTCTGAGCAATGGGGACTTTGCAGTTATTTGTATTGGAAGACAGCCAACAGGAGGAAGCCCGGCAACAAGCATCTTACGACATCCAAGATTATATAGATCCTGAAAAGGTAATGTAACAATGAGACTACTAATAAATGTTTTTATTTTTCTCTACCTGCAATTTAGTATGGTTCAACGATGTCTCACTGGTGGCTGGATATATGATTTCCTCGTAGTTGATTTGGGGGTGGAGGGATCAAATAAAGATGGACTTATATTACCTCTACAAAGTTCTGGAGCTGGATCAGCAAAAGATCTTGATATCCAGTTATATTAAATTGACTCCTCCTTGTTGGGATATCATAGAAGTTGAAGATGAAATCGTTAGTCCCTGCACTGATGATAACCAAAGCACCACTGACAATTTTTTGAGCTTTCTCTTCTCCTACAATCCCCTGGAGCTTCTCTATGTAGCGCTCGAAATATTTTATTTGCTGGGACATGGGGATTACTTTAGATGCGGCTGCTGTTAGGTCGTCGAATCCAGAGCCAGCAGATGCAAAGCTGACGCCAGTTAGAAGATCATGTTTTGATAGATATGGTTGTAGAAAAGGAGGAACATATTCCTTAAGGCCTAACATGGATGCTAAAAAGTCAGGAACGAGTTTTCCATCTGAAAACCTTCCTGTCGGAATCCGGCCTGGGAAGTTTTCGCCATATGGGCGATGATTACCTTGAAATATCGTAGAGATGTAGTTATTGTTGCCAGTATCAACTGTTGAATCTCCAAAGATGAGGATGGCTGAGAACTTGGGCAAGGATTTGCCATTGCAGAGTTGCACCAACAGGATGAAAAAAAAGCTGGTAATACCCATGGACAAACTCTTCTTCTCTTTTTAACCGGGTAGGCGTTCTTGTTTTTCAAAATATATGCATTTGAGTAGTCCTTTGTACGTAGTGGAACAAATAGCATAAAATGTCCTATTTATGGTTCTGAAAATTATATTGGAGGAAAATTAAATTTGCCTATGGTTTCATCAAATTATAGAGATTATAATGATTCGAAAGTATTAATAGTTGCGTAGACCTCATTAATAGTTACTGCAATTGCTTATTAGACTATATTAATGAAGGGCACTAAAAACGTGGAGACTCTGGTCCCTCGTTTGATCTATTACTGAGAGTCAACTTATTCATTATTAATTATTCAATTCAATGAGGGTAATATTACATAGATGAAGCGCAAATTGAATTAATTCTTTAGTGATCTTTCAGATTGAAGGTAATCCTGAATCCTTGACCACTATTTGAGGTTTGTCTCGACATATTTTAGTGTTGAATAATCTAGAAGGGGGCTATAAATCAGGTATGCAGTCAACTTCAAAGCTTTTGTATTGGTCAAAAACGGTCTTGACACGTGTACAGTTTAATGATCAATACGCGACAAGTATAACAACAATCCAATATAATTCCACAAGTGGGGTCTGAGGGGTAGTGTATACGCAGACCTTACCCCTACCGCGCCGGAGTCGAGATGTTGTTTCCGATAGATCCTCGACTCAAAAAGACGAAAAGAGACAATAAATCAGTAGCAACAACAGAAGCCAGAAAGATAATACCAGCTTCACAAGAACCAGAAAATAGATGGAAAAACAATAACAATAACCAGTAATAATGGCACGGTACTATGGAAACGGAAAAAGAGTATAAACACAATATTAACCACTAACAGTCTACGACACACTGTCAGACTAGCCTCACCTCCGGCATGAAAAAAAGACATTGTACTACCTCCTAACCTTCAACCCCAATGCTCGACCTCCACACCTTCCTATGAAGGGCCGTGTCCTCGGAAATCTGAAGTCGCGCCATGTCCTACTGACCATCTCTCCCCAGTACTTCTTTGGCCGCCCTCTACCTCTTCTCATTCCCGCCAAAGCCAACCGCTCACACCTCCTTACCAGGGCATCTAGACTTCTCCGCACGTGCCCGAACCATCTCAGTCTCGCTTCCTGCATCTTGTCTTCCATGGGAGCCACACCCACCTTCACCCGAATATCATCATTCCTAATCATATCCAGCCTAGTGTGCTTGCACATCCATTTCACCATCCTCATATATGCTACCTTCATCTTCTAGATATGAGAATTCTTGACTGGCCAACACTCTGCCCCATACAACATAGCCGGTCTAACTACTGTTTTATAGAACTTACGTTTTAGTTTCGGTGACACATTCTTGTCACATAGGGTGCCAGATGCAACCTCCATTTCATCCACCCCACCCCTATACGGTGCGTGACGTCCTTTTCAATCTCCCCATCCCCTTGGATGACTGACCCAAGGTACTTTAAACTCCCTCTCTTGAGGATGACTTGTGAGTCAAGCCTTATATCCAAGTCCGCTTCCTGCGTCACATTGCTGAACTTGCACTCCAAGTATTCTATCTTAGTCCTGCTCAACTTGAAACCTTTAGACTCAAGGGTCTGTATCCAAACTTCCAACCTCTTGTTAACTCCGCCTCATGTCTCATTAATCATAACTATATCATCAGCTAGTAACATACACCATGACACTTCCCCTTGAATATGATATGTTAATGCGTCTATTGCCAGGGCAAATAAAAATAGACGCGCATATCCTTGGTGTAACCCTAGAACCACCGAAAAATGCTCCGAGTTCCTACTGTCCTAACCCGAGTCTTAGCTCCATTATACATGTCCTTAATCACCATAATGTAAGCTACCAGAACACCTTTCACCTTCAGGCATCTCCATAGAATCCCTATGTACCTTGTCATACACTTTCTCTAGGTCAATAAACACCATGTGCAAAACCTTCTTCCTATCCATGTACTCTTCTACCAATCTCCTAAGGTGGATAGCTTCTGTAGTCAAACAACCAGGCATGAACCCGAACTGGTTGTCGGATATAGACACCACCCTCCTCACCCTCACTTCCACCACCCTCTTCCAAACTCATGGTATGACTTAATAACTTGATACCCCCATAGTTGTTACAATTTTGGATATCACCTTTGTTCTTGTACAGCGGTACCATCGTACACCATCTTCATTCATCTGGCATTTTCTTCGTCCTGAAAATAATATTAAACTGCCCAGTCAACCACTCCAAGCCTTCTCTACCTATATACCTCCAAAATTCTACCGGAATTTCGTCTGGCCTGGTCGCTCTGCCCCTACTCATCTTACGCATAGCCCCCACGACCTCATCAACCTTAATGCGCCTACAGTACCTAAAATCTCAGTGACTCTCGGAGTGCCCCAATTCACTTAGAACAATGTCTTTGACCCTTTCTTCATTCAGAAGTTTATGAAAGTAAGTCGGCCATCTCCGCTTAATCTAAGCCTCTTCCATCAATACTCTGCCTTCGTCGTCTTTAAAACACCTCACTTGGTCCATATCACGAGCCTTCCTCTCTCTCGCCTTGGCCAGCCAGAACAACTTTTTGTCCCCACATTTCTCCCTAAGTCTTCATACATACGACCAAATGCTACAGTCTTAGCCTCCGTGACCGCTAACTTCGCCTCCTTCTTAGCCACCTTATACCTTTCTCTGTTCGCTTTCCTTCTCCTCAACTGTACTCTCCACTAACTTCAAATACGTTGCCTTCTTTGTTTCCACTTTTCCTTGGACCTCGTCATTATTGCCTAAATATCTCCAAATCCATTAAGTCAATTCCAATATATAAAACCGAAAGGTGGATTAAAGAAATGCATCCAGAGATGCCTATACCGAGAACAAAAGTTGCCATCCCAAAAAATATTATAAGTTAGCAACCTGGGGATGATTATCCGAAAAGTCAATAGGGTCCTGATAAAGCGATTAACAAATCATCGGGTTTTGAGATATTTGAGATTCAGTTAATTGAACTGGAAGGTCATTTGAGAAAGTGCAACCCAGATCACTTACACCATGGACAAACGAAGTCATCTTGGAAGTGACCATCCAGAGTTTTCGAAAAGTGATAAAGTGTCCAAAAAGTCTGTGAATGTCCGGATAAGATAAACTGCAGTTACAGTTTAATATTAACTCGGCCGTTATGGAATTCAGTATTCCCTCCGGTCCAAAATAAGTGATTTTTTGGCCTTTTTTTTGTGGTCCAAAATAAGTGATTTTTTCAGATTTCAAGAATGAATTAATTATTTTTTTCCTACATTGTCCTTGGAGTAAATAGTGTTGGAGTATGTGTTAGGAGTGTTT